CACAAGGAGTCTTGGTCTCTTCGCACAATCCCATTTGTAGGATTTATAATGAAATTTAATTTCTACCTTATTCTCTGTGGAACTTCAGTTGGAGGTTCTTGGGGACTACTTCTAAAGGGATCTGCAGAAATTAGGGAGAGCAAGTTTGTTACCAATAAATGTAAATACATTATGTAAAATAATTGCAAATAAAATATGCACTCATGAGACTGTTCAGTTCACTTAGAAAATCTTTAAGGAGACATGAATCAAAGAAGATAGTAAATGCAAATTTAGATTATGGACAGCAAAGAAATAAACAGGAATAAGAAAGGTGGGACAAAGTTGTGGCTGCACCACCAAGAGACGCAGGTAACTTGTAGCATCTGGTTGCCAGGCTTATTCGTACTAGGCATTAATGGTTCATTTTCATTACAGAGAAGATTTGGTTCAATGAAGATTTTAAAGAGGGAAAAACATGATTCCAGATTGGAGCTCTGCCATTCAGCTAGACAACAATTTCAAGTGCAGAAGATCCAGATGCAAAATTTGAATTCTTAACATGACAGGATGTTCTATGAGGCACTGTGAAGTTATTTTTTCCTGTCTACTAAATCTATTTGCTTCTGCCTCTGTATAAGCTTGAAAGTCATATCTGTTCCCATGCCAGAATATTTCCCCCCCCTCGTAACCCATGCGCTTTGGCTTGTGATTATCAGGTTGCTCAGGAGCTCGTGCTTCTAGGATTTAACAAAAAAAAACATTGATGATCTCAAGAGTCCGTAATCAATATCAGAGGATGCACTTTCCAGCTTTTCCTATTACAGACAGTAGTTGAAGGGCTGAACTAGGTAATGAATTATCTGTGGAAGACATTGTGACTAGGCAGGCTGGCAGTCAGCCATGGTATTAAAAAGCAGCTGCAGAAAAGGAATTTTTCTTTTATTCTTTCTTGTTCCACACATGAATTCATGTTCTTCTTCCATGCCATATATGATCTATACTGAGCAAGTGAAACATAAAAATAGTCCTAGGAATTGCGTACACCCTGAGCCCCCAAAACAGGGAGCTTAACCAGCCTGCAGTGCAGAACTGGTGTAACTAATGACGATGAGAGTGTATTAGAAAAATGTGGAAAGTCAGACAACATCATTGTCTATTTCTGTCTTAATTGTCTCAGATGCATACCTTTAATGGCAATTGTAAATGTGTATATATAGGAAGCCAAGTCTGCTTCCTCTGTCCTGAGTGATTATCCCTGGGGTATCCTCTGCCTTGCAACACCTGCAGTGATGTGTGAGTGGTCCAGCTGTCCTCATATTCACTGTTCATGACCTCATGCAAGGCACCACAGAAAGGTGGCCTTATTTTTGGAGCTGGAGATACCCCTTTTGGTTTCATTCAGCCTTGTTAATAAAAACAAGTCAAAGGTATGTGTTCATTGGACATTTGGTTTCAGGACACAGAGTGAGGTAAATCAACAGAGGAGGAAGGGAGTTTTCCTCAAAGGCTGGCAGTGGCTTCACTGGGGCCACAATACCAAACCTCTTCCTAGTGCAACAAAGTCAGCTGGCAATATTGTAATTTGTTTTTCAAAACTGTGCTGTTGAAATGTAACTGAAAGCTATTAAATGATCTCATAATGACCAGGCAAGAAATACTTTCGTTTCAGTGAAGTGCAACTCCTACTAGTTGATTGGAGCCTTTATAATCAGTTTATAAATTAACTCTTTGTGTCTGTACTATTTTTTTTTGCAGTGAAGTAAAATCCAAATCATTTAAATATGGCCTGTATTTCATTTTCAGTGAATTCTTACAGTAGTTTCTAGCATGAAAGAAGTGCATTTTATGAATTTTTTTCCTGCTGTAAGCTCTCGTAACCTTATAAATGATACAAATGTCTGTCATTTGGGTTTTTTTTTCTTGTTTGTTTTGCAAATCTCAAAGCTTGTAACTACTGTGATGCAGATGCCCCTGGCTATGGCAGTTTTCCCATGTGTTGTGTACAGGTGCACAGTATTGCAAAAGCATGCCTCGTTTTTTATACCTAGAAATTGCGAAACAGTATGCAGAACAACCCGGTGAAACATCTGCCTCGTTTCCAGAAACACCGCGGCAGTGCAAGGCTCAGTTAAGCCGTGTACATAGCAGGAGCCCCGCTGCCACCTGCTCCCCTGACACCCACCGTGCCTGGGCTCAGTCTGGTGGCTCCCAGCATCGCCCAGATTGCAGATCTGCGCGCCTCTGCCAGGAACCTGCTTTTCTGTCAATGGGCCACAGGCAGTGTTGGAAGAACTAATGATTCATGCATTTTTATGAACTTCTAAGCACTCTGACTTGCAATGAATGCCAGCGTTTACTGTACTTGGGTAAAAATTGCTCCATACTGCCCGTTTTTAATTTTGAACCATTCCCGATGTGGCTGTTCTTCTGAATTTTGTCCCTTTTGTAATGACCATCTCCTTTGTTTTCTATTCGCAGGCTGGTTTACAGACCTACTGCTTCCTAGTGTTTGCTGCCATCTGCTTTGCAGGAGCTACCTACCTGTTTTTTGTCCTGCCTGAAACAAAAAATAAGACATTTCACGAGATCAGCCAGGCATTTGCCAAAAGGAATAAAGTATCTTTAGAAATGCAAGAAATGAACCACTACCCGGGGGAGAGGAAATCAAGTGCAGAACAAGAATCAAACTTCACATCTTCGGTGAACAATGGGGAAACCAAAAAAGCGATTGTGTAATACTCTTTCGGGGGACAGGGGAAAATAAGCTCTTTTCATTCACTATGTTTGTAGCAGTGCAGAACTTGTATTTTTTTTATGTGACAGCATGAACTGCTTCCCCATTGAATATGTTTTAAGTGAGTATGGGTGAATTTGTTAGCAGCTAGGGTGATGGTTGAGGAAATGAGAAGTGGGAGTAGCGGCAGCTGATTAAATAAATAAAAGCCAGAGTTTTCTTGGGCACCTGTGAAATAGGTGCTGCAGTGAGTGGGGTGGGGAGTATAGACTCGGAGAAGTAAAGTGGCAGTGGGGAGCCGGGGTTGTGAGCAGCAGCTGGTTGAGCACCCCTATGTGCTCAGAGGGAGGCGTGCGTGCAGTCGCCAGGGAGGAGGAGGAGGAGGAGGTAGGGAAGAGGGAAGAGATCCCAACAGGGGTCTGCTAAGAATTGACGCAAACAAACTTGAAATGGTACCGGCTCGCATTTCTCCACGTTTCCCAATATGTCATTCAAGTTGCACATGAGAACTGCGGACTTGAAAGAAGAGTCGTGATGCTCCCCTGACCTCCCATTCCTTTTCCAGCTGCTTTGACTTTCAGTTACTTTGTCTGAACACCTCCCTCCCTCCCACAAATAGGGAGCTCCAGGTCCTGGTAGGTTTCCTTGTCTCTCTTGCAAATCCTGATCAACTAGTAATACAGTTGCCTCTAGTTTCTGGGTTTGCTGGCACTGCATTTCTGTGGAGAAATATATATATATAAAAATTTATTTTTTAAGAATAGCTATAGGAGCTTTAATATGAAAAGAAAACTAAACCTCATGGTGAAGTGAGAGAACTCTGATGGTACGTGATTGGTGTAGCATTAAATATAAAAATCGAACACCAAGTGTTCAAGGGCTAGGGTATTTTGATTGTTTTTTTGTTTTTCTTTTCAGGTTCCTTTTTTAAAAAGTAGTTTTAGGAGCCAAAATTTCCCTGACACCCAATAGAAGTCATTTCTTAACACTCAGATCTCTCCAAAGGAATTTGGGTGCCTATTTCTTACTTAAATACTAATTTTCATTTGGGCATTAGATTCTGAAGCTCCAGACCTAGTTCATGTTAAAAAGTTTCTAAGCTATTTAATGCTTTGTAAAACTGTCCTCAGAGTCTGCTTGATTTCATGATAGAAAGACTCAGCAGGCTATCAGTGTGTCCTGGTTTGGCTGAAACAGCTATTTTCTCCTTTCAGGAGTTTTTCTTTCAGTCACCTTAAACGATGACACAGTGGTTAGGTGATCCGTTCCCTTCCACATGTGTTTCTTTTTTTATGAACATCATCTTGCCAGTTTGTAATTTTGACAATAGGTGATAATATCCTTCTAGGTACCTGGATGCTGCAGCAGTAATAAGCACTTTTCAATTAAACAGGTAGCTGGTTTATATGAAAAGTCAATAAGTCTTAGAGCTGCTCTCAGTTAGGAGTAAGGTACAAGAAGCAAGTGCAGCCTCTAGGTAGAGCCAGCTGCTTCCACAAGTTACATTTACTAATCCAGAAGTTCATATGTTTGGAGCATTTTGGGAAAAAAAAATTGTGTATATATATACACACATACATGCATATATGAATATATATATTCCAAATATAGAAATACAGGTTAATATTTATATTCACATATATATATATACAATGGAGAATTGTTTTCCAATATTTGGGGTTTTTTCAGATTTCTTTGAGTGATAAGCTGTTTGCTGTTTTGTTCTACACTGTAAATTACACTGTAACTTAAAATCAGAGATCCTAATGTTTAGCTGTTAATACCAAATTATGTATATGGTTTTATACTGTGATTTATTTATATGTGGCATATTTCCTGCAGACATTGTAAACTGACCTAATAGGGCAATTTCAGTATGGGGTAATAGAAGAAAAATTGATCTGAGCCTTTATGCCAGAATTTATGCTCTTTTACTGGGATAGAGGTACAGCAGCAAGTAAGAAAATGAAAATATATATGAGCAAGAGAATTAAGAATGAAAAATCAGATTTATGATATTGGTGCTACTGTTATGAAACAGAGTGAATCAGGATTATACCAACTGGTAATCATAGGCAGAAGCTAATCAAATACTATGGAGAAAACTGAAGAAAAATGTTTTCTAATAACCACTTGTAAAATTATATATATAGCAAATGAACATGTCATCTTTCAGTGGCTCCAGTTGCCTGTCCCATGTGTTACATGAGGCTTGCCAAGTGAATGGCTAGGTAAAATATGAGTTTGAATGCCACCCCTCTTCTGCCTGCAGTGTGAGACTGGCAAATTCAGACCCTCTCATTCAGATTGAGAATTGCTTTCCTTGGCAGTTAAGGCTACTAACATGATATGATGTGCTCTGATTTGATTCGGGGTGGCAAGATTGGAAACTATTATTATTATTATTAGAATTAGAATTTAGCATTTAGTGCTGTTCATTAATGTACATTACAGACATTACTTGTTGATAATGTTGCTGTTGGATAACTTCAATAAAATATCATGTTGGCCTGATACAACAGTTGTATTGGACTTCTGCAACAAGATAAAATCATCTTACAGTTGCTTACAGTTGCATTTGGAGCCCATCTCTGAACATGTTGGTAAAGAGATGGGTTGATAAAATTTCCTGTCACAGCTCTGGGGCTTGTACAGCGTTAGCAACAGAGGGTTGTGGTTTTCTCTTCTGCAGCCCCGTTTGCCCATCTCTTGCCCTACCTGAGATAGGCACACTCCAGATAGATAGGCACTTTCTGTGTGGCTGCAAAGAGAGGTGCTACAGGCTGAGTATGCCATGGGACAGCGGTTGCACATCTCGCCAGCGGTTTGCTGCAGTCCATTGTACAGGTTAAAAGCAATTCCAGTCTCCAGACATGTATGCGTGCAGGCACTTTGCTCACTGACCAGGGAAAGTGGCTGCAGTCTCTGATGCCTTGGGTTGTGGAAGTGTCTGAGGAAATGTCAGCTGTGCCGATACTGTGTTAAGTTTCACATCTCTGACCCTAAGAAGAGTTTTGTGTTGTTCTTCAAGTTGTTCCGTAATATTTTTTAATGTTGTTATGCTGCTATAGCTTCTCCAGCAATGAGAGGACAAAATGGGAAATACCAGCAATTTATTATTTGAGTTTTCTTGTTAAATGTATCAAATTGTCTACAGCCCGTGTGTTTGTCAGTGAGTGTTGTGTGGTGCCACGTGCTCTTTTCCTGTCTGTGACATTGGGATGAGGCACTGCGAGATGGTGTTTGTTTGTATGAGTACCACAAGTGGGTTATATGTGATCAACTATGTCCATGAACTGCAAAATAAACCTTTGGAATGAAACCAAAATTACATAGATTTTGTTCTGGGTAAATCTGAATCTCTACAGCTGTACAAGTTTCATTGTACAATTCCCTTTTTGTTTTTTTTATGTCCCAGCACAAGACTGTACAGTCCTACGTCTGGATGACCTGAGTCATTGTGGACTCTACAGTTGGGTGGTTGGGAATTACGGGGAGAAAAAACATCCTTGAAACTGTATATTTTGGAATATTGTTTACATTTTGCTTCTCAAATCAGATTCCACACTGCATTCTTTCGTATGTTTATACTGGGCTTTAGAAATAAAAATACAGACATCAGTGCTAGGCAAATTATTAAAACTGGCTAGTAGTAGTAATAACTGTGTATAAGAATTGTTGAATCTGGTGAGGCTTTTTTGCAGAAAGTTGTCATTTGCCATGTTGCATACTTTCTGATGAGAAATTCAGTCAAACTGCTATTTCTGCTACAAAGATATGCAAAACCGGAGACCTGAAATATGTATAAAAAATTGAATTTCATACTTCAGGTTCTGAAGCCAATTTTCACACCACAAGGATCTGCTTTCTAGTGGGGGAAGATGTGAGTAGTTCAGCCATATGGGACAATTTTCATCTTCAGAGTAAAATGAAAAAAAAAGAAAAAATCACACCAAAACCAACTCTTTGAAATTTGTTGTCTTCCCTTTGACTATTTTTATGTGCTTTTCCATACAGAAATCACCATATAAACTGTTAGAGCTCCCATCACCTCACGTAGCAGGAAGAACAAATCTGAGTAAAGCATTCTTAGGAAATGCCTGTGGTCTTTTCCTTTCAGGCTGACTCCAGAAAATAGAGTTCAGATACAATCTAAAAACCTGAACTATATAGACCCAAACTATGAAGCAGGTTTGTTAATGCAACTATTCAAGCTGTTCAACAGTTCAGGTTTGGATCCATACTTAATGCTCTCTGCAAGTGATTTTATTTGGGAATGTGTCCTGTGAAAAGGTGAACTTCATGGCAAAAGCTTGGTACTTGGACTCCTAATCAAGTTATCACAGCTCAATAAGCAATCATGCATAACCTGAGTCACTACAACCCTCTTCTTGCAAGCTAAGTTACGTTAACCTTGCTTTTTCCATGACGTAAGAGAAACACAGGCAAGGGATGGTCAAGCTCTTTCTTGAGATCTTCCCGCTAAAGCTGCACTACAGGCAAATTCTTTTAAACCTAGGATTTCAATTTTTAAAGAGCATAGAAGAAAAGCTTTCAGGAGACTTTTATCCAGTGATTAGTGAAGTGAACAGAAATCTCTTCCAGTGGCTTCAACTGTACAAATGTACCAAAAAATGGCACGGTATAAATAAAGGAGTTGTTATAAGCTTAGGAAATCCAGCACATTTTTATCTTTAGATAGTAAACCAGTGGCTTGCCTTCTGAGTCTGGGAAAACAATATAATTATTCAGATGCTGTAAAAGTACTGATCTGCTGCTTTTCTTCTGAGTTTGGGGCTGAGGGGGTTGATTGGTTGGTGATTCATTGGGTATTTTTAAGTGGTAGCATTAGTAGTCTGTTTCATATGCCAAAGAAGAGTACCAAGCATGAGACTCCTGGAGTTGCTGGTTGTCTTTAAAATAATTCCCAAAAGGTAAAAAGCAAAATATAACTCTCTCAGACCCCCTGAAACACAATACATTAAGAGCATGATCTTGTAAG